CTGAACCCAAGAAGAGGAAAGCAAGAGCCAGTGAAGAGAAACATTCAGCAGAGGTTTTAAAAGTGCTGAAAGATCTCCCTTTGCTCAGGTTTCCAAATGAAACTAATAGAACACCGCTGTGCTGGTACAAGTACTCCTAAAGCCTCCTTCAGATAACTTCCAAAATGAAATGGACTCTGAGGGACAGGCAGCCTCAATCCCTTGGTGCCCTGTGGGAATTCCCTAGGTCATCACAGACAGAGAGACCCAGCCATCAGAAAAAAGGATAGGGCCCCCAACAGCTCTTACAGCTGTGCTCTTAGAAAATATTAACCCTTTCAGCCAGCCCTGGACAGAGATTTGAGCAGGCTGTACAGACTAATCGATACATGAGGAAAGCATTAAAGCTACGCTATTAAGCTGGAGCAGTTCTGGAAGGAAGAATCTATCTAAAGACACAGGCCACAAAGTCAGATGGCACCTAGGAAATAAAATCCATTATAACAACAGGTGCCAGCACCTTGTTTGGTCAGGTCTTGGTCAAGATGTTGTATCTGGTTGATGAAAACACAGACCTAAGAAAGGCCTGGTGGCAAACTATCAGATGTTTTCAGAGGGATGGCTTACATTCTCCTAAGAAGAACAAGACCTATTATACAACTTCCTATGACACCCCTGCCTCCTCTGTGTTTCTTGCCTGTACTGTTCATGTGGATTTTCCTCCCAGCCATTCTGGAGAATAAGTTCCTTGAAGTAGAGCAATATTTAGTATGGACCTTTACCCAGACATATTTTCCTTCAAAATGTTTTATACAGGTTTTCTAATTTGAAGCTGAATTTATTCCTTCCTATATAACTACTTTCCTTTAAGTTTTATAACAAATATCACTCATTTCACATATTCCTTGACTATGTGTTAGCTCTTGGATTTATGCATCCCACTATCAACGTCTGATACAACCTTGGCAGACCTTGTCCTTGCAAGAGACAGAATGCAATCTTTCCTCTCCAGTTCCATGACAGGTGCAAGAACAGTCTGTAGGCTACAGAAACGATGCTGCATCCCAGTCTTGGCTGGAAAGCAAGTGACACACCTTTTATTGAAGAACTTTGGGTCAAACACAAAACGACTGCGTTCGTTAACATGGGTACCAATATCACACAGCTCAGCTTTTTGCCAAGCCACCTGGCAACAAGGGCTAACAATGTCAAATCTTGCAGCCACCAGAAAACATTAGCCCTCCATCATCTTATTTTAAGCTACTACTCCCTGAACTCTCTTGGAAGATCCAAATTCAAGGGCCTTCCTTGCTTTATTTCCCCCCAATTCCATACAAACAAGTTCTAAATGTGCTATTGCTTAACTTAAAATTTCAGCCTGTGAAGTGGCCAAAGCAGTACTCACAGAGGAATCACAGGCAATTGCAGGAGTGTAGCTGAATCCTGCTATACAGTGATAACAGCATGAACGTAGGTAAATTCTGCCAGTTAGCCAGTAGGCAGTAGCTAGCAAGAGATAGTGCAGGTTCAAATGAACCAGGAATGAGACAAAGAACAAAGACATTTATTTAAATCTCATTCCTACCATCTCTCAATACTCCTCACACTGTCTCAAGATCTCATATTAAATTAATATAGAAAAGGTTTCTATTAAATCTGTTTGTGGCACACCCATTTTAATCTGCTACGTGTACCTAGAAAAGAGTGAAACACTGCATTCCACTGCTGTCACCTTCTCCAAGATCCCCAGGTTAAAAAAGACACCACTTAAAGTTGGTCTCCAAAGGATACAACCAGAATAATGTCCCAAATTGTAGGGGATTCTGCTTTGTAGATAACATTTTATTCATACCTAAAGCTAATATGAAGAGAACTAGGTTGTAATCAATGTCAGTGCTAAACACACATTCTGCTTTTAAACAGTCACATGCCTCAACAACAAAATAGGGCATCAGGCATGGCTGGGCTGTATGTGATCAACCATTTATGTCTTTCCCAAAAGAATGACACCAGGCAGGTGAGACAGAGACAAGGGTTGTGGAATGACTCCTTCAAAGGTAAGTTGCGGGTCAAGACTACATCCCAGTACAGCAGTGCCATCAAAGATAAGCCTGTTTAAATCTAAGATACTGCAACACCAAATGTTGTCCAAGGTTCCCAGCCAAAGGGTTCAGTCATGACTTCCCAAAGCACCTGCTGCACTGCAGGGAGCACACGTCTGTCATCTTGTTTGGGAGACAGGAACAGATTTATACAGAGCCTCCTCTGAGATAACAAAGCCAGGTGTTTTTTCCCTGTCTATTCAAAGGCAGTCTTTGAAATCAAGAACTGGGTGTCCAGAAGGAGGAGAGAAATCTCACAGCATTTCAGTCCATCTACCCCAACAGAAACTGGAAGTCCTCCCATATTTCCCCATTAACTTGAGAATTCGTGTGCTTTGAAACATGACTTCCAGCTTTGGCCGTAGCTGATTGAGCCTGACTTGTTCCCTTTCATTATCCACTCAAGACAGTGAAAGCACCACGCAGGAACGACTGTCACTGCATGCTGATGCACGTATGCTTTTTGCTTCAGTAGCAACTGCACTGTGAAGGGATGGAGACAGGTTTGCCCATCAGTGAGCCTGGGTAGACAGTGACAGGAAAGCAGATTCCTGCCAGTGTCTTACACAAATGGAAGGTTTGTTTCAGTGGGAACTTCAAATTAGATGCACCAGCTGGCACGGCACTCCAGTTCTCGCTGCAGTGTGAGCAGTGTCAGATCTTGTTTTGAAAGCACAGAGCAGCACGGCTGGTGCCAGAGAAGGCAATAGTTAAGCAGCTGTAGTGGTAGAAGTACTAGAAGAATCAGGTGCTTAAATTACATACAATTTATTACCGCTGCATGTTGTTGACCTTACATGTTGGAACACCCCAATCAAGCACATCAAACAAAAGACAGCATGGCAAAGTCTCTGGTTAAAAGGTCAACTGGCCTGCCCATGGGAAGGAACACAGTTATCCACATCCCAGTTCAGAATTTCCTTCCAGGTACACACTGCTTGAACATAGAGTGCTGTTTGCAAGGAGACGAACATTTTAAACAAATTTCATCAGTCCTAATAAAATATGTCATTTGGTAATTAAAACCAATATATTGACTCGCCCATCTGACACAGACTGGCAAATGAAACTGTTGTTCTCCTTCTTTAATGACAAAAACAGGACTGAAGAACACACTCGGAGCTCGACTATGCGGGAACCTAAGAAGCTGAAAAAGAAAATGGCTAATTCTTTTGGCTCTCAGATCTCCACTCTGGAATCTAAAATTAATCTTCAATTTCACATTTCACTTTGTGCACACACACTCAGACATGCAAATCCATTTGTTTTTTCCCTTGCTCTAAAGGCATTTTTCCACAGGAATATGCATTTCTGAGGAGTCAAAAGGAAAACCTCTTTGAGTAAGTGTTATTCTTATAAGAAAAAAAACTGCAAAAGTACCCTTTTGGAGAGAACTGTTGATTACTGTAATTAACTTTACTTGATCCTCTTATTTATGTTAATGATGGTAATTGTGGCTGTAGAGTCACAGGAAAAAAGCTTGGAGTCTTTCCCTGTTACCAGATTACAGTTAAAATAAGCTTTACATTGAGTCCCTCACAGAGGGATTTTTTGGAACTGTTCGTCATTCCTAGTCAGGTCCCATTTTCTCCTTTCCTAAGAACAGAATTCAAGTGATTTATACTTCAGTGTGCATTGCCAAAAGCTTGACTTTGAAGATCAGCTAGTGATTTGGGGCTTTGAAGGTGATGGCTAAATTATTCTTAGCAAGAGCTGTGCATATTGTATAGTCACAAGCACACCAATCTTTAAGTAGTCAGAGAGCAAAAATAAATAAGAATACTAAATTAGTCACATAGCATTAAAAATTAACATAAGACTGAGACTTCCTTTAACTACATTTTTGGATAAGGGACGCTACTTTCATGCAGCTAACTACACAGGCTTACTATTCGCCTCTCCAGTGTGGGCAGATGCTGTAGGTCCTGATGCCCAACTTACAATGCTCTGCCTGCTGCCCTTTTTACTGGACCAAGTAATGCTCACTGTGGCTCCCACCACAGCTGTGGGCAGTGCTTAACTGGAAGGCCTCCTTGTCATAAGTCACTGAAACCTCTTAGTGGCCTAGAAGATTGGCCTAGAATTCCACAAAAGCCACCCCTCGCCTCCTCCTCCCCCTTCCCTTTCTCCCCAGGATCCCAGAAGACATTTTGCTAATGACAAACAGATTGGCACTTACAAAAGTGGAAAGGATGTTCGTCTGGGCCACCATCAAGGCTATGTAGAGGCACAGAGCAGAGATGAACATGCTTGTGGCACAGATCAGAGGATCAGCTTTATTGTTTAACTTCCTTAATCTTCTTGCAGCTTCTGCCCCAGCAATGACACCCAAGATTCCTGTCCCAATGGTGATGCCTCCAAATATTAGGCTGGTGACAAAGCAAAGGATTCAGTTGAGCATAGTGAGACCATACTGTGGGGGGAAAAAATGATGTTAGCTTATACCTTTCGTTTCAGAGGAATTTTTAATGTGGAACTTGAATGTTATTCCACTTGACCTAGCCCTCCCACTCCTTCTAGATGGATTTAATCCCAAATCTCCATTGAAGCTATCCTCTGCAACTGAGGCAGCTCCTGTGGAGCTGGTATTTTCCCATTTACAGAGCAGGTGTTATGTACCCAGGCTCAAGGAGAACTCCTCTCACTATGATCTGTCTTGGACATCCAGTGATTTAGAGGAGAAACAGTCGTCTTGGTTACCCTGTGAACCAACCTACTCAGTCATCCCTAAAACACAGATGGAATAACTCTGTATCACAATCTGCTGCCTTGGAAGAGATCCTATCACGTGGAATTATATACATCTAAATTATAACCCTCTAGTTAGCACAGCTGAGATGAGTCACTTCTCTGACTATGGGAAACATCTACCACTCCCCAAAAGAGTACAAAGAATACTGAGTAGTTAAGTAGTGGGAGGTCTGTGTAGTATTTTCTGAACCCAGAATTTCAATTGCCACTCAGCTTTGTATGTCTACAAATGCAAATGTGTTCTCCAGGAATGACAGGTTCATGTTTTAAAAGTATGTGTTTGAATAGCTGAGAAGATTCAGCTTCCAAAGGGCCTTCCATATATGCTTTTCTCTCTGTCCCAAATGAGATTCTAATGACAATGCAAGTCTCTTGCAACAAGAGCAGTGGTGCCACTGATTGCTTAATGCATCATAATTCTCCCGAGGCAAACAGAGGCACTGTCTTCTGAGCACAAGTGCTTCTAAATATTTCAGTGCTACATGGTAAGTTCTGTAAGTTTTCCTGAGCTTTCTCTGACTGCAAAGCAAGTAATCAGCTAGGATATGATCTATTCCTTTAAACTGCAGGAATACTTTTACATTTCTTTCTGGCCGATAGGAAAAGCTCTATAATCCTACAAGATAAAAAAAAAAGTGTTGCTATACAAGATAACAATCTTTAAGCATATTTGTACTCTCCCTTTAAGTTCTTTGAGATTCCAATCCAGCACTCGCTATAGCTTGATAGTGACAATATAGATTGTCACTAGGCAGGATAACTTCCTTAGAGATTTGTCCAGAAGAGGCAAGTTTCCAGGTGACATTAGGTGATGGAAGTGTTCATGAAATTGTGTTTAGAGATTCATGTGTTGTAAACTGCAGTTGAAATAAACCTACAGCTGGAAGAAAAGGGAACAGCCAAAGCTAAATCCAAGCACACTTCAGCTGACAGGGAGTAGGGAAGTACAGAAGTCTAGTCCTGGGGAAAGGCTGCTGTGGGATCTTCTAGGGTCTGAAAATGCTCATGGATCTGTCTGATCAGTTTGAAAGTGTCTGCACAAAGACCTGAATACAAACTTCATACTGCCTATTTATCTACCTTGGAAGGATGGGGACCTGAGTCAGCTGTGGTGCCATTTGAATGTGTATTTCCAGGGAGCTGAAGTGACACGGCCCTGGTCCTTAAACAAAGCCTGCAACTGCCAAACATCCAGAGGGGAAGATATCCTTAAAGTATCCCTGGGCAGGTCTGGGAATGTGCAGCTCACTTCTTCCAGCACCATCAGCTACAGGTCTGACATAGTTGTTCATATCATGTTTCTTTGCATCTCTCTGGAATAACAGTCTAAAGCCATCCATATGCTGTTTCTGGCACTAGCTTATGCCGAGGTTATTTTTAAACCCTCCTGTAAGAGCAGTACATGAGGTTAAACTATCAGGTGCTCCGTTTTACTTCCCTGAAGACTAGGTCTGCTTTAGCATCACTACTGTGGAATAATAATTCAGAGGATGGATTAGAAAACAAAGCATAGGCTAACACCTTCAGCTTAATAAAAGAATTATTCAAACTGTATCTGTTAACAGATGCAGCTAACAGTTTAAACTGTTCAGTTTCTCCTCTCCGCCTACCCTGAGTCAGACTCGGGAGTTCACTCTCTTCCTCAGCATTATTCGCTGTTGTGTGCCAAGGGTGGCATCCATGGCAAGACAATGGCTTTTCCTGTGAAGTACTTGTGGATGACTACTCAATCCATCTGGTCACACTACAACTTGGTAAACACTTTTGAGCTGACCCGGTTGTTCCATTGCAGAAAAGCAGAAGCAGCCAATTACCAGAGGATACACTCAAGGTGTGATTACTACTTTTCCCTTTAATTGTCTTTACTTAGAAAGAAATGTAGTAAGCAGTTCTTGGAAATCCATCATGATGCTAGAGACTGAAAACTGATTTGGGATACCTCCAGAAGAAAGGTAGGGACACTTGTATGGAAACCACTAGCAGGGAGTGAGTATGTAGGAGAGACGTGTCCCAGTGCTCACTGTTCTTGAGGGTAGCCATGAAGACTCAAGGGGAACATAGAATACGTTTTTCTATTCTGGATAACACATTGTAAAGAAAACAAATCTCTGCCTAGCTGGGAAAAAGTGATTTCCAAAAAGTTTTATTGTGATCACTGCAAAGTTCTCTCCCATTGTAAATCCCCCTTGCCCATCCAAGATCCATGAATTTTTATTGGTCTGGGTGGCCTCTGTAAGTGGAGCTCTGCTGGCAGTTACAAGTTGAAATTATTCTGTTTTGTTGTGATGATATAATACTAGACCAATTAATCAAGCTTGCTTTATGGTGGGAGTCACAGTGACCTGGCCAACATGGCAGGAGTTTTAAACCAGACTAACAAGAAGGTAATAGGAAAGTTACCAAAACACAGGATCTAAACATATTTCAGTGGGTATTTAAGTAGTTTGGGGTGCACAGTCGATTGTCAACTGAAGTCCCCTTGCTAAAGATGCTCCTTGTCCTGCCACTGTTCCTGTTACTGCTTCTTCCCACTTTACTTACATAGGGCTGGCACACCTTTCCGGTTAACCAAGTCATTATAAACCAACAAACAAACGGGAGTCTCTCAACATACCTGGAGGCAATTGAGTCTAACATTCGCCCCCCAGTTACCTTCACAAGAAGTGTCCACTGTCACATCCTACCCCCTGCCTTTGGGAACAAACTGTGACTTGCACTGTGCAGTGTTGCCAAGGGTGTTTCCACAGCTGTGCGCACCTCACCTGTTAGAGGAATTGCATGATTCTTGGAGGCATGGGGATACAATGCCCTGCATGACCTGAGCCCTGTACAAAAACAGTGGTACCCACATTCCCAGGGCTCCGGTAACGAAGGCCATGGCAGTCAGACCCAGTGAGGACCAGACGAAACTCCAACTGAAAGTTAAAAGGAAGAAATGAGAGATACTAGAAAGAATGGGTTGTGAGGAAAAAGGGAGAGCCTACCTGCAATATCCAGGATTTCAAACAGTAACAAGTCAATTCATTCCACCATAATCCAAATGCACTCCCCTGAAGATATGAATTTTGATGAGGCTTTATCTATGAACTTCAAAAGGAAAGTAAAAATTGGAGCGAAGAGTATGACCCACTGATTTCCTGTCAAATCCCAGTCCTGGTCTCTTGCAGATTTCACTGCCTAGTTGTTCTAAAACAATTCCTGTGAAATCTTTGATAGCAGAACTACACCATAGAGAGTGGGCAAGAACTTAAGGCTTAGTAGCTAAATGAAAGTGTTCTATGTGCAAGTCTAAATGCCTCAGGACAGATTGGTTTCCATAACCAGTATAAATGAGAGTAACATCTGGGTCTTCCAAACTGTTAAGATGCAGTGGCTGAAGCACTCCTTAACCCTACCTGAGTCAGTAGAAATAGACTCTCAGTCTGCACAGAGACGTTTCAAACAAAAGCTGAGGCTTTCAAACAAAAGGTGAAGCATTTCAAGAAACTGTTCAAATCTTGTCTTCTTCCTGCCCTATTCTAGGAGAAAATTAACTGTTTACTGGTCTCTTTCTAGTAATAGTTTCAAAGTCCCCTTTGAGGTCAATAGGGAGGAATGAAATTTTAAGACTAAATAAATTGCTGCAAATGACAAGGTGACCACCAGACTAGAGGATTTGTTAAGACATGAAGCTAATTTTTCATCCTCTAAAGATAAAGGGCTCTTGGACTTGCTTAAAAGTGGAACCACATGGGGTTTTGGCAGTATGTTTTTATGCTTTGGAAATCAATTGCTAAAGGAAAACAAAATTAAAATCTATTTTTACAACATTGTTGGAAGTTGTAAGAAACATCTTTGTAGGAAAGTAACTCTGATGATAGTCTAATTGTTGAAATGTCAGAAATGTTCATTTGTGACTCAGGAAAGCTAATTTTTGATTCACTTCAGAGTGTACTGACCACAAACTGTGAACCAACAAACTGGAACACTAATGTACTTGCTGTTCTGGATGCAAACAGGATGCAGATCTAATCACCAATTGAAAACACTGGATCCTCTAGAAGAGAAACACTAGAAAGACAGACAAGGTCTGAGGAAAGCAGGAGGGGCTTGTCTTTAACCAAAAGCATTCAGCGGGGACCCCAAGGCAGCAGCCTGCAGGCAGGGGCCATGCAGAGCCAGGCCTGTTGCAGCAGTACCTGCTGCTCTCAAACTGGACCCACTGCTCCCTCCCTGCCCCTGGCCTGCCTTCCACAGCTGTGGGGTGACAGGAGTGAGAAATCTGCTGCAGTCAGTATTTTACTTTGTCCTGCAGGTCAGGTAGCGTTGACTTTCATTTCTGTGCGGCTGAAAGGAAGCATTTGCCTGCCAACAGGCTTGCTGGTCAAACCACATGTACAATTACTTTATAAACCGTATCAGGGTCCTACAGACTCTGACCTCTTGTATCAGAGGCACAGCAGGCTCACAAATACCGTATAAAGACTGCCTGAGACATGCTGATCCAACCTTCCTCAGGCACTAAGGATTACACCTGCAAAATGCGCACTTTTAGCAACCTAGCTTACCCTACTTGTTAAAGCAAGGGGGAAGGGGAAACATAGCAGAAGGTAGTGTCGGATCTAAACAGGAGCACACTGCCATCATAACCTTTCCTCCTTCCTCCTCCTAAAAATGGGTGGATAGCAGAAGCAAAGAAATGTTTAATCTTCTGCATAGCATCCCCATAAGAGTGGAAGAAAGACTTTAATCAATGGCATTTCAATCATCTTGTATATAGCAGGCGATACAAAGGAGATGAGTGGGATTTGATGGCCGCATTTCTAATAACAGAACGGTCATTCTTCAGTGGAGGGAATGTTTGTTGCTAAAATCACTTACTTCTTGGCAAGTGATACAACATCTTGACACCAAGTAGTCTTGGCCGTTCTCTGTACACCTGGTTTCTCAGCCGCGACCCGTATTGTGCCGGAGATGCTCAGTGCTCTGTGTGCTGCTGTCCTTCTCTGGGTCCTGTGAGGGACCAGTAGAACCAGAAGAACCAGTGCTAGACCTCCCATGCAAGGAGTTATCTGTAGACACAAGGCCGGTTAGATCACGGACACCTTTCTTCTTATAGCGAAAACTCCACAGCCATTCAAATTCACTGTTAGAAACACACAGTTGGCAATTGCAGATGTGTTCAGAAATAGATGTGACTTGCTGTTTGTAGGACATATTTGTAAAAAAGAGGAGAAACTTTGGTGATTTATGGTGATCCTTCCTCCTCAACATACTCCCTCTAATTTTGGAGAAAAATATGTGAAGAAACAAAACTGTACTGTAGTACTCTGACCACAAATGCAAAACTCACTGATGCAGTCATCAGTGTTTTCTGAATAACAACAGGCTGTTATTCCAGTAAACATTCTCCCCCCTCATCCTGTACTTGCTGTCAGTTATATAGATAGGTTAGGAGGATCTGACCAAGTACTTCCAAAGCACTAGGTGCTCAGTATGGAGAGACATTACGACAGTGTGACCAGAACAGAAGAGGGTTTTTTCTTGAAACCTTCAAATAATAGAAGTTATTCCCTATAGCATTTCAAAAACCAAACTCCATTTTCCTGAAGAATTTTACTGGTGGTACCAGTATAATGAACATTTTACCTTCAGTTTCCTCTGCCTGAGGTTGTGGTACACTGACAACCATTCCAAGTGTGTCCTCAGGTAAGAGGAACATCAGCGCCTGCCCTGCCTGCTGTACAATTTCACCTATGCCTGCTTTCATTTTGCAAGAGCCAGACATAAATCTCCCACTCGTCCTGCAGGAAGAGTTCCCTTAAACACAAAATCCATGAGCAGTCAGTAGAAAGTCCTGCCACTGCTCACCTCTTTTAACACAACAGACACAAACAATCCAAACCTCAGTGATGATTCTGATTCTGTGGTGAATGGCTCAGCCTCATGAGTGAAAGAGAAAAACTCACCCTGAATGCCCAGTGCCAGTCACCTGTGACTTCTGCCATGCCAGCTGCGAGGACATAACCAAGACCACTGTAAGCAACAGAAAAGAATAATCAGCCGGCACCAATGAATTCTTGTTGGCTGAAATGACATGTCTTGCCAGCGAGGGAGAGCACAGAGAAATCATAGTTTTCAAACAGATAAACAGAAACAACCCTCATGGTCTGTGCTAGTCCATTTTCCAGCCAGTATTAAAAAGAGTGTCCAACTTCCTCAGAGTGGACTTGGTGAGATGGTGGCAATAATGTCCCAGATGCCCTTGGAATACATATTCTGTAGACTGACACTGCAAACCCAGATCAGACAGCCCATAAAGCAGTTTATTATTTACACTTTTCTGTGCTAGATACATGAATTAAGCCGTACAGGAATTCCTGTGGTTTTAATCTGCCTTCTAGGCTCAGCCTGACTGCCTGCTCTAGTAAAGAGTATGCCTGTGAACCACTTGAAAAGCCCTTCTCCACCTCTCCTTCAGAGGTGTCACTTTAACCAAAAGAAGAGAGGGAAGGGCCAGTTCTACTTTGGGACACATTTCTTGAAGGGTTCTTGAAAAATCTGTGAAGTAAACAAACATCTGAAAACTTCTGTTTTGCAGAACCCAGAAATAAATTTCCTACCCCCATGCACATGTTTCCTTTAGAAATGATTCAATATTTTATTCAAAGCCTACCAGTTTTCAGAGTTTTGATTCTTCCTAAAAAATGTTAGGGGAAAAAAAGCAAAAATTTCTACAAATCAAATACAGAAATAAGCCTAACCAGCTCTATTTAAACATGCTAAGCAACTGACAAATCCTTTTGCAAGAGCCAGTGCAGATACACATCAAAATCTCTCTAATCAGGGTGCAGGGTGTATTGAATTACAGACAAGGTCTGACAGAATTTCAAAAGGTGGGTCTGCCAATAACAAGAAAACCAACCTTCCCACTGGAATGAAGATATAGAAGATAGATAACATTGTGGTCCTTTTTCCTTCCTCAAACAGGTCTGCAATGATGGTAGGTGCTATTGTGGAATAACTGGCTGTGCCAATGCCAACTAGTCCTCGTGAAAGAAAGAATATCCAGTAATACTGCAGGCAAAAGACATTATAATAAAAAAAAAAAACCCACGCAAGAAAGAAAGATTACATTAAAGAAATTCATTTTAGTGGATCAAATGTACCAGAGGAAATAAGAGTTCAACTGCCTTTAGCATATGGCTGTATTCCCTCCGCTCACACCAGCTTCCCTCGCACCCCACTGCTGTGCTTCCTACTTCCCGCACAGTAGTGACTTCTCAGAGTGCCAGCCAGAGAGAATTACAGGATAGAGCCAACAGAGCACAAGCTTGACGAACAAGCCACTACACTTAAAGGTCATAATCAAGAAACATTTGGGACAAAAATATGATCCCACCAATTGCAACAGTAACATGTGGGTTCTCCATTGCCTAGGCTGGACCTCACCACCACCAAGTCCATTCAGTCCAGGCCTGGGGAGTGGGTGCTCACCGCCAGTTTTTCCAAATGTAATCAGAGGAGAACTCCAACTCCTGCAAGATGTATGCAGCTGATCTTAGCAGGACCCTCTAAAAAAGCAACATACCGATTCACTGATGAATGAACTGCCTAATGTTACACCAGACCAGAAGAAAATACCAGCTCCAAGGATGATTTTCCTATTGTAGCGGTCACCGAGGTATCCAAAGATTGGGGCAGCCAGCATGTAAAACAAGATGAAGACTGGAAATCCAAGAAGGAGCAAAGACAATATTGGTGAAATCATTTTTGTCATACATAATCCTCACCCCTCAGACAAACTCAGGGGCTTTTTTACAGCAGAGGTTAAAGGCAGGCTGAGTTTGTAAAACTAGCAGGTAGACTGACATTTAGAGAAAGAAAAATGCAAATTTAAAAAAAAAAATGTACAAAAATAACGGGTGAATTGCTCAAGTTTTGTATTTCTTGAGAAATTCCTTCAGTTTTTGTGATTCACATGCTGTGGGATTTTTGAAGGACTCAATTCCCATCTTCCCTGAACCAGAAACTGAGTTTTTCATTATAGCCAGCCTGCCCACAAGTGGAAGTGAGCAAAACCACACACAAGTAGGAACTAGAAGAATCAAGTAACTAGACTGTTGTAGGAACAGACCACGTAGATGCAAAGTAAACTATCTGAAATTAAGGGATTTTATTACCTGTTTGCAGTAGACCTGTATCCCCATCGCTAAGCTCGAAGTATTTTTGTATATCTAGCAGGATCCCTGCAACAGAGTCAAACACTGAATGACAGCGACGTACCCTGCTCATTCCTTGTAGTTCTATTCATGTGCCAACTCAAAAGATTTATTCAAGAAAAGGGCTTGCAAGAAGTGCAGCACATTTGCTAGTTTGGAGGTAAATGGTTACCACAAGCACAGATAAACACAGAATTAAAAATTCTTACCATTATAGATAAAATTCATGATCTTCCACTATATAGGTGCTATGAGAGTCAGTTTGCCCACTAATTCCATCACAATTGTTCTGTTTCTTTTGCACTGTTTGTACTTAAGCACATAAAAAATTTACAGTTCAGAGTTTAATGGACACAACTTGGAACCAAACAGCGGCAAAGTTTTGCAGCCAGGAGATTGCTATCTTCATACAGCTAATCCTAAACATTTCTTAATGACCTTAAAATGTAAGATGAGTTGAAATTCTTTCTGTTAAGAATAACTGTTAATATTTGCAGTATGTACAGCATTCAAATTAGTGCATGTTGGATTTTTCGGGATGCAAAATGCTATAGTCTTCATTAGCCAATGGTGGCTGTATCAGCCCATAGCCAGGGAAATACTACTGCAATGCAGAGCATGGTTCCAATCGTGCAATTCTGCTCATATTTCCTTGACAATCTTGCAGAGATCAGATGAGATACAGATAACTGTGGATTTACAAATGAACAGTTTTAGTGGTGACAATGACAAACTTCACCAAAAGGGATCATTTCTCTTTCCAATAAACAGCTGACAGAAATTCCATCTCAATTTCTAACCATTCAATAGCTGTGGGAAAAGGTTAGAAGAGTTGTCAAAAAGTGTGGAAGAAAGGTGAAGAAGCAACAAACAGAGGGAAAATCCAATCTATTATTGAAGGCCATTATTAAAGCATGAAGCCACCACTTAAGAAAACAAGTTCTGTGTAAACTGTCTGCTGTGTTCACAGGAGCTGACGTGCAGCAGGATGGAGCTCGGGGTGAGGTTAGCAGGAGGCACCTCTGCTGCCCCTGCAGTGTATTTTACGTGTCATGCCATCCATGCTGCTGCAGCCTCTTAAAAGCATTCTGAGCCAGCTAGTTTAAAGCTAAATCCATGCTCTCCCACAGTCCCCGGGGCAGCAGCATCACTCTCCTCACTCTGTACTGACAGGGCTTGAGGTCAGCGTAGATCAAGGTCTCACCTAACAGCAACACCAGAGCGCCGGCAGCTGTTTCTCAATGACTCCCGAACATACCCTGCATTTCGGGTTTTCCTAATGGTCTACGAAGTTTAAGTCAGAGACTTCATTCAAACATTTTGCATCATTAAAACAGGACAATCAACTGTATCTACTCTTTCTGGCGGCCGATTATCAACACACGGAAACACTGTATTACAGGAACTTCAATTTCAGACTAACAGAGCATTTAGAACAAATCAGAGCTAACACAAGGCGTGAAGTGAACCACACCTTCATCTCAAACCAGCTCTCACAGCGAGCACTGTCAAAATCTTACCCCTCCACATAACTGAAACTGCTGGTCTGGACAGTTACTGGCAAATTACAAACCATTCATCTGATCAGCTTGGAACGGGGTAACAGATGAGAGGGGAAAACGTCTGCAGGGTCACCACTTCTAACAACCTGAAGACTCAGTTCCAGCAGGTATTTAAGTGGAAGAGCTTGTTTTCTGTGTGAAGATTGATGCAACTCTGCCAAAGACTGTGAGCAAAACTGCCCGGAAACCACAACTTCATAACTGCCACCAGCTTACTTTAACAAATACTCAGGCCTCTCCTTCACTTTCCTGTTAACTTCTGTTTAACAATTTGTTCATACATATGGACAGACAAACCCAGAAGTACTGATGCAGAATTCTGCAGTGCTGCTGGATTCCAGCAGATGAACAGTTTGTTTACAGTGAAAATTGTAATTTACAGGTTTCCCCCATGAATTTAGAATTAACTAAAAAGTGTTTTAGTCGTAGGTGGGAATTAAAGTAGATGTTTGCTGTTTCACAAGCCTGGACACTATCCCCACCTCTAATCTTGAATTCTTACGTGTCCCTGAGGTACCTCACACACGAGGAACCGCGTGTGTTAACATGTAGGCAAGCTGTATGTCACAGGCCTTGGAAACTGCAAGCTCTTAGCGTGTGCAGGAGACAAAGAATAGTTCAGAGCCTGGAATGCACCAAATGACTGCTTGCACTTAATACTCCCAAGCGTGTACCCTCCTGGCATCCTGGTTCTTGCTGAAAGATATTTTCACCCTCTCCTGTCCCCTGCCCTTCCCCAGGGAAAGTCACTTGACAAGAGCTGTACATTGAAGTTTTTCACCAACAGTCCTGCAGTATCACTCAGCACGCACTCCTACTTGTTTCCTTCCCTCTTACACGTGTGGTTAAGTATTCAAAAGAAAAAAGCTTGAACTCCTAAACCCACCAGCCACTCAACTTTTAAAGATATTGACCAAATGTCTTAAATTTCTGAATGGTTTAAGTAGTAAAAATAACTAGTTTGTGTACTGTCACTAGATATGAATTCCAAATTTAACAATCCATCCTTTGGGGTTTTTCCATGTTTTAAAACACTGATGATTTCCAGGCCACTCAGAAGTAAAATATAGCAAGCTCCCAACAAGTGTTTCCCCCTAATTTATAAATCAGACCACTGGAAGCATGGTAGATGCATAGGAGTGATGCTAAACAGAAGAATTTACACAGACCACAGTTTACAAGGGAGGAAAACCAGAGACTTCCCACCAGTTTACTAGAAGCAATGCTTTGCTGGTCACAGCTGGGCAAAAAAGATTTAAAATCACGTTTTGGAAGACAGACATTATTAGAAAACATGTTGTAAATTTGGGAGGTGATCTCCGTTCACTGTAGTTCAATAAGTTGATCTCCATAGTTGATCTCCATTCAATTTGGGAAGTGGATCTTTACATAATCATGTTACACTCTTCATTGCAGAAATCACACCATCCCCAGCGGATCATGAGGAAGTTAAGCCTCCCCTAAACAAACGTGCACAAAGTTCACTTGATTTTTGTACTTTTAATGAGGGGAATGGCATCACTATTCTTCAGATAAAGGAATGCCAGATCTACTCCGCTGGGTCTAAAGAAAGCCTGGTAAGCTGCTGTACACAATAAAAGGAAGCTGCTTCGTCAAATCTCTGTAGAATCCAGACACAAACTAGTTGCTCTGTATGCTGAAGTCTGTTTATAAGAGACTTAGATTCAAATATATAAATCTTAAGCATTTAACAGATGTGATTTTTATAAACATTCTACTAACCATTAATAACTAATACACTATTTATTGGTCTTTCAAGATTTATAATTGGAAGTTTCATTGAGAGTATGACCAACAAGCTAAAGCAGATGAGAAAGATTAAAAAGACATAAAGCATATCTTTACTTCAGAAAACATTTCTAACTTTTTTTTTCAGAGTAAGTAGAGCTGTTGAGAACTTGAATTTTGTTTTCTTTTGAAGGAGAAAATAGGCTCTCACCTGGCACAATGAACCAGTCCATGAAGTTTATTAGATTCGCATAGCACAGCACAGCAGTGATCAGGTAATCTCTCTTTGCTGGACTGTTCCTCGACACAGACACAAACGGACCTTGTCCCACGTGCGCTGCAGTAGCTCCATAATTCTGCTCCTCGGGAGGTGGCTGGAACTGCAAGGCTGTGTTCTCATGGGCACCGGGGTTTTGCATATTCCCCAGTGCAGAAAGTCACCGTAGATTATGAAGCGCTTCCTTAGCACACCAAGCTAGAGGACAATTTTGTGTTCGGTCTATGAGGAACTTCAATCACTCCAGTCATTTCCGGCAAAGAAGCCCAGCCACTAAAAACTGAAATTAAATGTTCCTTGCAGGAGGAAGAACTTTACAAAGAAAGAAGTTGCAGTCCTGTGTTTTTGCAAAAGCAAAAGTGCTGAAGTGCTATACCTTGAAGACAAGGAAGAGTAAACATAAAAAAAGCAAAATAAGCCATTGAGCATCCAAGAAATAAAAGTGCACAACTTTGCAACGGTATCACTGAACTTGCATATGCAAAATTAGTAATATTCTTCACTAAGGTCTCTGTGAGCTGCCAGAGCTAAAAATAGTCTCTTTAGAGAAGAAAAAAAAAAAAAAAAAAAAGAGAAGCTCGTTTGCTAGACCAGGTACCTCAGGTCTTTGACTTGAGCTCTCCTTTAGCACAGACTTCCTGTGCAACTCCGGACAAGCCATTTGCTTTCTCGGCCCCTCATATCTTTGTTCCTGCCACACACACCCCCAGCCTTTACAGTAGAGCTCCCTAGCCTTGTCCCTGCCTCTGGACCACTCACATCTCCCTGTTTCCACCCATCTCCTTTGCACTGGCCAGATCTACCCCCAGAAAAAAATCCTTTCCAATAAGGTCCTGAGGTTTTAGGTCAAATCAGCAATTTAATCAGAAGACTCATGTTCCAGACTACTTGCTGGGTTTGGTTTTGGTTGGGTTTTTACCCTTTTTTTTTTTTTTGAGGTAGGGATACCAAACCAAACCAAAAAAACCAACCCAGAATGCTACAGTAAGCAGAGTAAAGGAGATGGAAACAAAACCACTCTTCTGCACCCCCGTGGGAACTGTGCACATTCCACAGTTCTGAACTGTGCAACCAGATTTCTTCCCCTTTCTCCCCCAAAAAGGGGTCTGAAAGCAAAAGAAAGAAGGACACAGGAAGGTGTCCTTATTCTTTCAGGATGTGTAGATACCTTTCTTCCCTGCCTTTCTCCTGACCACTCAGATTTGAAAAAGTATTCATATTTATTTCTTCTAGCACCCGTTTTTCATTAACATTGTTTTTTCACTCCTAACCAGTGTCGTGGTTCAGCCCCAGCCAGCAGCTAAGCACCACACAGCTGCTCGCTCACCCCCTTACCCTCCAGTGGGATGAGGGAGAAAATCGGAGGAAAAAGAATTTGTGGGTTGAGATAAGAACTGTTTAATAATTGAAAATAAATTAAATAAAATTAAATTATTACCTTACTAATAATAATAATAATATGCAAAAAACACTGCTACTAATAATGATAATAATATGCAATTAAAAAAAAAGGGGAGGGGGGGAATTATACAATTGCTCACCAGCAGCCGACCGACGTACAGCCTGTCCCGGAGCAGTGATTGCCTGTTCCAGCCCACTCCCCCAACTTAGATACTGAGCATGGTGTTTGATGGCATGAAATGTCCCTTTGGTCAGTTTGAGTCAGCTGTCCTGGCTGTGTCCCCTCCCACACAGGGGCAGCGTCAGAAACTGAACATGTCCTTGGCTTGGTATAAACATTCCTTAGCAGCAATTAAAACATCAGTGTGTTATCAACACTCTCCTCAGCACAAATCCAAAACACAGCTTCATGCTAGCTACTGTGAGGAAAATTAACTGTCCCTACAAAACCCAGCGCAACTAGACACGTCTTTTGAGCCCTTTTGTGGATTATCAACTTCAGAAGGTACGTTATTTTTTGTACCCTGCTAAGAAAGTTTACAGTGAAAATTAAGAGCAAACCGGGAGAGTTTAAGAGTGAGAGCTAACTGGAATGAGTACTGATTACAGTTTATGATTCATGCATGAAGACAAGAGTCTGTGGTGGGTTTTTTTTTAAGAACTGTTTCACACTTGAGACTAAACTGAAAACCAAAATAGCACCTAGTATTCTTGGCCATTTTGTAAAATCCAGAATTCTTTACTTCTGCGTGCTCAACACTGTACTATTTCATTCTAATTTCATTTCATGAAGATCTAGTTCTTCATGAACCAGAAGGCGTGCTTTATTTAACCATGGGTATATTGATTTTATTTCAAGAGTGGGGTTTTTTGGTAACAACTCTCACCTTTCTACAGGAGGACTTAGGTACTGATGCTGTGGATGCCCCATCCCTGGAAGTGTCCAAGGCCAGGCTGGATGAGGCTTGGAGCAACCTGGTCTAGTGGAAGGTGTCCCTGCCCATGGCAGGGGGGTTGGAACTAGATGATCCTTAAGGTCCCTTCCAACCCAAACCGTTCCGTGATTCTATGATTCTATGATTTTGAGCCTCTCTTCCAACTCAAAGAGCTCACGTAAGTCAGCGTGTGTCTGAAAACATTTCAGAGGGTGTCAGCTTACATCAGGAAGCAATTTTTGCTCTCTATTCGATATTATCACTACTACCTTTTTCTCTGCTACAGAATCTTCACTCAATAAATGTCACATTAGCTGTGCATCACGCTGCTTTATCAAACCAGTGACGTCGAGAGACGGCTATATTGGGAGTAATAAAGAACCTGCACAACTCTGTAGAGATTAAAAACCTTATTTACATCCATAAGGGCGGATCAAGCCCTGCAAAACTGCCCCAACCCCTGGGGGGAGGCGGACAGCGGCTGCGGCGGCGGGCAAGGCACCGGCAGTCCGCCCGGCTCCGGCGCAGACGCGGGTGA